ACCCACGACGGAGGCCACAGGCCCCTCCAGGAGTCCAGAGTGTGGGAGGAACACCCTTGGAGGACCTGGAAGTAGACTTCACTGAGATGCCCCCAACCCGGGGCTACAAGTACCTCTTGGTCTTTGTGTGCTCATATTCCAGTTCGGTGGAGGCTTATCCGACCCAGACTGAGAAGGCCCGAGAAGTAGCCAGACTGCTACCAATTACCATTGGCTCAGATAACGGACCAGCCTTTGTAGCGGAGATAGTGCAGCTACTAACCAAAAATTTGACAATATTAGATGGAAATTGCATACCGCCTATCGACCCAGAGTTCAGGACAGGTGGAACGCGTGAACAGGACCCTTAAGGCTCAATTGAGAAAACTATGTCAGGAGACACATCTACACTGGGACGAAGCCCTCCCCGTGGCACTGTTAAGAATCAAGTTGACCCCAACCAAGAAGACTGAATTCTGAGACAGCAGTTATAGGCCCTGGGTACTACTTTGCAGGCTGCTTTCAATCACTGCGTTAGGGAAAGGCTGCCTGTTAGTCTGACTACTGAGGCCCATTCCTTTAGGCCAGGAGATTCGGTGTGGGTCAAGAAATGGAATGTCCAAACCTTGAAGCCTCTTTGGAGGGGCTCATTCACTGTTATCTTGTCCACCCTCGCTGTGCTAAAGTTTGCCGAGATAACACCTTGGATTCACCATAGCAGGCTTAAGCCAGTGGTCACAGACTAGCGGGGCACTCAGACTCCACGGAGCCCCTCAGACGAACCCTCCGAAAGAAGACATTGACTGGACTTGCAGATTGAAAGAACATCGGCCCTGTCTACGGCCATGCTAATATTTTCATCTCGGAAGCTTAGCAGGGTCGGGCCTGGTTAGTACTTGGATGGGAGACCACCTAGGAAGACCAGGTGCTATAGGCGTAAAAAATTAAAAAATAAGGGATTGTAAGCTGACGAGGTCCCTGCAACTGTGAGGTCAACCAAGGGTTGCCTCGCTTAAAAAAAAAAAAAAGGGGAAACCCCCACTGTGACTGGGGCTCAACCTTTCGATGGAAATCCGCTGAGCCAGTGCCAGCACCAATAAACGCTACTTCCTGCTTATTGCCTCGGTGTCCCATCTCTCTGTCAGAGTGTTCTGCAACAATAGTTATGTAGAGAGGATGCTTGGCAGTGACTGGCTCTCTTGCTCAGATTTGGGGGGTAAAAATTGCTTTCAGAGAGATTAATTGTAAAATGACAATGGATCAGAGCAGAAATATGAAAAGTCACCCTAAAGAGAGTAAATGCCTCTTAACCCACAGAGACCTGAAAGAGTGAATATGTTAGTATTTATGAAGAGAGAATGTGTCATGTGTCAAGGAGGGTCACAGAGGTAAAATTGCCACTGCCCATCCAAACGATGTCTGGGAATGTGCACCTCATCAGGAAGGACGAGAACAAGGACAAATGTGACGGGGATGATATATCAAGCTAGTGGAGGCCAATGCCCAGTCCTGGTCCTGCGTTCACCAAGCCCTTCTGATCATTTGGCTTCTCACATAACCTGCTTCCAAGAAGAGAACGTACCCGTGAAACGGAGCAAGCATCTGCCCACTCGACAATTGTTTCTCATTGTAAATATATCAGTAGTGTCTTTTCTCCTGGTGTCTTAGGAGATTAGTTGAGACAAGTCAGGATCTTAGGGTCCTATCTACCCTAAAACATGGCTGAGACTGTTCTTCTTAACGTATATGGCTGAAGGCTAGATCCACAGTGAATTTGTCAAAATTAATGCCACTTAGTGAAGCCTCTTGGAGACCCTCAGAGTTACTTAAGTGTCTCGTCGCAACTACACAGAAATGTAAATAAATTACGGACTTTGTTGAATGACTGGAGATTCGAATTAGTTATAAACAACACAGCCGTGTAACAAAATTTTAGCTAACTAGCTTTCATTCGCTAACATTTATCACACCTCTACCATGCTCTATGCACTTTTCTAGTCTCTAGAGATACAGAAAAACAAAATGAATTCTCTACCTTCACGAAGCTTATATTTTGGTGAGGGAGATAGACACTAAACAGGCATATAAAGTGATGTCAAATGTCAGCCGAGAAAAGGAACAGAGTGGGATGTCACAGAGAGGATGTTCTGAGGTGACATTTGAGCTGAGCCATGGACAAAGTGAGAGCGAGCCGCGTGGCTACGTGTGGGCTGAGCGTTCCAGGCAAAGGCCTCAAGACAGACGATCCTCGGCAATGAGGAGGGAAGTGAGGGGGCAGCGAGGTCACAAGAGGTCAGGCTCTATCAAGCCTCACAGGCCCGGGTCAGGACTTTGCCTTTTGCTTCACGTGAGATGGGAAGGCATTGGAGGGCTTTGCGTGGATCTGACTTCCGTTTTAACAAATTTCCCCTGCTGATATGCTGAAAGCAGTCGAGTGATGAGGTGACGGCAGGTATCCAGGAAGGAAACAGTGATGTCTTGGGCCAGGACAGTAGTACTGGAGGGATGAGAAGAAGACAGACAGGGGATATGTTTTGAAAGTTGGGCCGATACGATGCACCGTTGAATTGAACATGGCATAAGAGAAAAAGAAAAGCGTCAAGGGTGATGCTAAGTTTTGGCACCTGAGCCACTGGCAGGATGGACTTGCCAATACCTGAGACGGGAAGATTTGGGGAACAACAGGTAGAGGGGAGGGAGGGGAGTCAGCAGG